TGCCTGCCACCCAGTAACTGCTCAGTAAATGAATGGCTCAACCAATCCATCTTAAACAGAGTAGCAAATGTTAGGGCCAAATTACCAGGGAAAGGGAGCCCTGAAGAATAACCAATAATAACAATCATTTTTACGTCTTCCTCAAGAGCTTACTGCCACTGTGCTAAGTGCTTTGCATCATCCCTGGGAGGGGGAAACTATTCTCCTCTCAGCAGCAGCGAGAGCTGAAGTAACCTGCAAAAGCAGGCTGATGGCACTTCCCTGGTGGCACAGTGGTTAAGAATCCGCCTGCCAATGTCCTGCAGGGGACATGGGTTCGAGCCCTGGTCCAGGAAGATCTCACATGCCACGGAGCAACTAAGCCCGTGCGCCACAACTACTGAGCCTGCGCTCTAGAGCCCGCGAGCCACAACAGCTGAGCCTGCATGCACAACTGCTGAAGCCCACATGCCTAGAGCCCGTGCTCCTCAACAAGAGAAGCCACCACATTGAGAAGCCTGCGCAACGCGACGAAGAGTAGCCCCGGCTTGCCGCAACTAGAGAAAGCCTGCGCGCAGCAATAAAGACCCAACGCAGCCAAAAAAAGAAAAAAACTTTATATATACATATAAATGCAGGCTGACACCTGAGGGGCACCCTCTGATTCCTGTCCTTTCTGAGACCTCTCCCCATTTCTATCTCTTTCTTACATCTATTAGCCAGTGTTTTGTTCAGATGCTTGCAAAGAACACTAGTGAAGTCACTGCCATTTTATGATCTATGTAACCAGAATGTTACCTTTACGCATTATAACGTATTCAGAAACCACCACTCCAAGCAGCCACAGGAAGTAATAATAAAACCCAATAATTGTAACAGTAATAATATTAGCTAACTCTTGCTGAGCACTTACCAGGAGCCCAGGCGCTGTGCTGAACACCCGCCAGCTGTTCATCCCCTATTTCCTCCTCATAGCCACCGGTGAAGCTGGTGCTTTACCATCCCCACTTCATAGGCGAGTCAACAGGCTTACAGAGGTCAGGTAACTTGCCCCAAAGGAACCCAGGTCTGCACGGCCCCTCAGGCGACCCAGGTGCCTTCTGCCGCTTTCAGTCTTCCTTCCTTTCTTCCCTGTCCCTTCCCTCAGGGCAAACCCTCTGCTTCCCACCCTGTCGGGCTGTTTCACATCTAAGAAGACAATGACTGGAGACTGGGCATCGCTTGTTTCCTTGAAAATAAAGCAGTTCTTGACAGCCACCTGATCCAACAAAGTCCCAGGGCTGCGTGAGCCACCAGACGAAGATGATTGCCAGCATCCCCCACCCCTTCCCCGCCCCCTGCTGCTCCCAAGAAATGCATGGTCCAGGAGGGAAAAGAGGCAGGTCAACAAATAACCCTGGGGCTCGGACTACCCACCAGGCACCAGCAAAACAACACCCCATACCCCTGCCTGCCCCCCTCAGAAAAAAAGAGGAAGAGAAAATAAAAGAAAAACATTCAGAATTCTGGAATTAAAAAGTGACTGAGACCATTTTGGCCTCGTGTATGTGAATCTTGTGTTTATGGGCTGGCATTGTTTTCGTTTTTAATGACAGGGTTGGGAGAGGGGCCACCACAATCCTTGTATTGTTAGGGCTGCTACAGGACCAGAACACACGCAGGAGAGAGACAGGTACTCAGATAGTTTGGGGGGCGGGGGCAGGGGATGGGGGGGAGGGTATGTGATCATTTGCAGAAAGAGCTCTGTCTCCCATCTGCTCTGAATGTTCACAGTGATTATATGCTGGTCACAAAGCCAGGCAGGACGCCTGGATGTAGCGTTTTGCAAATGCCCATAGATTTCACACCAAGACTGAGGCTCTGCGCGGGCTCCCCAGACCCCCGTCCAGAATCTTCCAAACGCTGCAGCCCCCCCTCCCATGGCTTCCTGACCCCAGCGTTAGTGGAACGGGCCGGCAGCCAGAGCAGGCAGTGTCTTCACACAGGGTTTGGGGTTTCCATCTGTGCCGGGTAAGGAGGGCAGGCTGGGGAACACACTTGATCCCTCCCGCTCCAGGCCGAGAAGCATCCTTGCTTACTTTTAGTTTCACTGTCCTCTAACTTCTAGGAGTGGTTAGAGAACCAGGGAGCCAGATGGCCCAGGTCCAAATCCCAGTGGCTCTACCACTCCTTAGCTGTGTGACCTGGCGGTGAGGGTAGGGATATTTTTAATCTCTCTGAGCTGTGGGTCCCCCATCTGCAAAACAGTGATAATAATAATAATAATACCTTATGCGATGGTTGGGAGATTAAATGAGATAACATATCTAAAGCATTTAGAACTGAGTCTGGCCCGTCATAAGAACTCCATCACTGCTAGACATTTTATCATAACTGCCTTGGTGCGGCTATAGCGAGCATGAAATGGGAAGAACATGCTTGGCCTGATATACGATTTCAATGTTACTATAGAAACTACTTCTATTATTGGGACCTCCCTGGCGGTCCAGTGGTTAAGACTCCACACTTCCACTGCAGGGGGTGCGGGTTCGATTCCTGGTGGGGGAACTAAGATCCTGTGTGCCACACGGCACGGCCAAAAAAACAAAGAAAGAAACTATTATTATTATCATTTACTATTACTGTTATTAGATCCTTAGATTACTGGGGACCAGAAAAACGGAAGAGAGAGAGGAAGAACCCGTCAAAGGACCCATTTTAGCAGCATTCTCCTGTAAGGCCTAGAGTTTCTGAGGTTTTCTAGGGAAGGGGTAGAAGTGACCATCAACGGAACTCATCTACGGTCAAAATTATTCCACGTTGTTGCTCTGTTTCCATCTTGATTCAGGGTTTCCCCCCACCCCGCCGCAGACACAGGGTATATAAAGGAGGAGTCCTGGCCTCTTACAGAGATTACAAACCAGCATCCGGAGTTTAAAAAAAACAAACAAAACAGGGAGAATGCCATGTCTCCAGCCAACTAGGAAAGGAAATACAAAGTAAAAAGCTCGAGCATCCAGAAAGCCATCTGACATCTAACACAGTGAAGTGCGGCCATTCGTTAGCAGGCCCGCGGCTACCTCGCCAAAGAATATGGACCAGCAACTATCCCAGGTCCTCACTTCCGCAGGAAAGGGTCAACACCGCCACTGGTGTGACCAAATTCAGGGAGAATCACACAAAGAGGAATAAAAGGAAGGCTGTCTTATCGTCCAGGAGGTTCTTTCGTTGAGCTGTCCGAGAAAACTGTCCATCCCGGGCAGGCAGAAGGCCCTGGGACACAGACTCCCAAACGCAGCCTGCCTGCCTGCCATTTAGGAGGAAGAAAAAGAAGCTAAAAGCACAAGAGAGCAACTGGATGTGGACGGTGAGGAACCACCGGGTTTCAGACCAGCAATCACAGAAATCAGTTGCGGGGCTGGAGGGGGCGGGAGGGGGTGAGTTCTGATATTTCAGAGCTGAGAAGAACTCCCTCTTTCCAGTCCAGAAAAGCTCCAGCCCTGGACAGAAAGGACAAACCGGACAGCATGGAGGAGGGACGGAGAGGAGACGGAGGAAGAGAGAGGAAAAGCAACCATAAAAAGAAACGGATTTCTTCTACTTTTCAGGGGAAGCCTGGTTTATGCAAAATTCTGCACTCAAAGTCGGCAAAGCAACAACAAGAATAAAAACCACGCTTAACCAGGCAAAACAAAAATGTGATCACATAACAAATCCCCCCGGGGAGTTCACTGGGTACAGCATTATGACCGGCCCTGCACCCACCGAGCCTTTCCATCACCAGACCCATGCATGGAATTCCAGTCGGACCCTCGTGCCAAGGCCTCAGACCACGAGGCACTCCTCACCTCCAAGATGTAACTGCTCCCAGATACTGGAGACCAGGCCACGAGGCTCTGCCCAGCCAGAGATTCTGTGTTCGTTCTTCTGCTGCTTCCAGGAAGGTTTTTCTCCTAATAAATCTTTCAGGAAGTCCCACTCAGAGTTCAGAGGATCCATACACCCCCCTTCTCCACTGGTTAGAGCTTTAGAGAGATTCGCTGTGACCACAGGACTGTGTCAAACGAACAAGCCTCAACTTGTCGCTGCCAGTATGCAAAAGAGGCCTGCGACACCCTATGACAAGCAGCAGAGCAGATGCAGTCCCTACCTCCTCAGAGCCCCGCCCAGCCACCGCAGACAAACACACGTTTCTTCAGGGTTTTCTCCAGCAACTAAACAGCTCCAGTAGCCAGGACGCCAAATGGTGGGGGAACGGAGGGATGAGACGGGGCTGCCAGCCTCTCTGGAGAACAGAAGAGCAGAAAGGAAACACCACAACCTCACCCTCTTCTCCCTAAAACCCCTCACAAGGGACTTCCTCTCTTCTCCCAACTTACAGAAGGGCCTGAAATCAGGGGCTCGAGTGAACACAAGAATATTCCATGCCTGCCAACTCTCAGGAAAATTCATGGTGTATCTGCGCACCGAACACATGCAGCCTCATGGCTGCCCTTCCCGAGAGTCTACACTCCGGACCACAAACACTGGCATAAATAAGAGCACATTAGCCTAGGGAGGATAAATCTAACCAAATCAGCAATCCATGCCAAAAGAATTACCACGATAGGGGTGCGAGGGCCCCGGCAAATCAGTAAGTGCAATGCAAAAGCTGAGAAAGTTTCAAGAAACAGAGTTGCTGAGTTTTCGGAAATCACCTTGTAGGGGTTAAGGGGGAGGAGACGGTCAGAGGATGGAGGTCGCATCGTATGGTTCACAGACCTCTCGGTTAGCAAAAGGGGCCTCCAGACCGTCTCTGCGGATCCAAACCCGTACCGACGGGAGGGGGTCTATATTGGGAGCTTAGATAATAACACGCTTTTCAGCAAGAGCACAAATCCAGAATTATCTCCCTGCAAGGGCCATTTGATGTCACCCTCTTCCCCTCCCCCCACCCCAAACGCCCAAACTCGCTGCCAGTCCAGAGTCTGGGGATGAGAAAAGTGCACGGTGAACACACCCATTGGCATCCGAAAGCTCCTTCCTTCCGTCCAGTTACTCACCACGCATCCCGACCCGCAAGGCCGAGGCTTCCGAGTTTCCAGAAAGGGAGAGGACAGAATTCTAACTTACTGGAAGGTGGATTCAGCCGTGTCTCCGCAGGTCACCGGGGCCGCCAACAGCCTTTCCGCGTGGAAATCCACTCAGGGGCTTCCGGGCGCGTGCCGGGGCCCACCCTCGCTCGCGGCCCCTCGCTGATACTCCGGGTCCCGGCCGCCCGGAGTCCGCCCGGCCCGCGGGCCCATGTGCTCGGCGGCCGCACGCGCTCGGCCCGCTGGAGCGCGGGGCTGGAGGGCGGCCCGTGACGTCACGGCGGCTCGCGCTCCGGGCTGCGGGGGAGGGGAAAGCGCGCGCCGCCCGACTGGCCGCGTGCGTCCTCGGCCCCAGCGCTGCCCGCGCCCCTCAGCTCCCCGCCGCCCGGCCCGCCGCCCCGCGAGCCCCTCCGCCCGCGACCGGAGCAGCTCGGGGCATCTTGCCGCGGAGGGCCGCGCGCGGAGGCGGGGAGGGCCTGGGCCGCCGGGGGCCCAGACGGCGCGGGGAGGGCACGCTCCGCACGGGGCTGGGGAACCTGGCCGCGCTCGCGCCGCGGCCCGAGAGAGCCAGCTCGAACCCCGTGCTGATGCCCATTCACTTGCGTGCAGCTGTTTCAGCAGTCCTGCTCTCTGCCCCCCCCCCACCGCCCCGCCCCCAGGGGTCCTGGAGCCAGCGAGCCTTCCCACTTGCCAGATGGGGAAGGCGAGTTTGGAGAAATAGGTGAACCAGGATGCTCTGAGATGGGAGCACTTCGCGCAGAAGACCCCTGGCTTAGCTCTATCCCTAGTGATCCTGGCGCCTCCTTGGGTACCACCAGCATCCGCGGGCCTGGTAAGAGGGGCGCACGCACCTTCCCACCTCCTTCGACGTCTCCAGCTGTCCCCCAGGGCTGAGGTTGGCAAATCCGTGCAGAGGACCGGCTGTCTGCACCAATCCCTCCACTCCGGAGTATTAAACTACCCCTGTGAATGCCCAGTAGTCTCCCCCAAAGGAACAAGAGAACCCTGGCCTCCTGCGGGGAATGCGTTTATCTTGCTTTCTCTACAAGAGCCCGGGACCGGACCGAAGCGAGGAGCTGCCTCCGTTCAGTTCATCATCTATGGAGCACTTAGGGGAACCGGGCGCCCTGCTAGGCGATGGGGATACAAGCCGTAGAAGGAGGTCACAGTCCGGTGAAAAGACAGACACACAAGTGTGTGATTTCAACATTATGGAAGTGAAGGCTGCCTCTCTGTCCCCCACCCAGTGCCTTACCTCCCCTATCATTTTAACCCACCCAGTGGCCTTGGGCCCCTCCCTCCCTCCCCTGTCTTATGCAGTTTCTCCTATTCCAGTGGCTTCTTCCCAAAGTGAATGGCTCTCCTCTCTAGAAAAAGAAAAAAAAAAAAAAAAACTTCACGTGATGCTCCACGTACCGCCTACTACACAGATTCATTTATAATCATGGAACACTTGTTCTGTACCTGGCTTCCTGCGAGGGTCTGGACAGGTCTCTGAGCTCCAGTTGTCAAACCTCAGCATCTGTATAGGCACTGTAGGAACTGTGAGAATTTAGCCCTTTCACTGCTTAAAAATTCTCCCTGGAACCGACCTCTGTCACCCAGGGGGAAGCCGGTGTGCTCCTGCTGGGCGCCCACAAGCCAGGAGAGGTCCAGCTTCCAATAGCAACTTCAATTCCATTCCCTGAGACCCTAATCTGGCTACAGTATCCTTCCTGTTAGCTGTCTGCCTTGAGGCCTCTCCTGGCTGAAAAGATGCCTTGACCCAGGACTCATCAACCTTGACCTTGACTCTGCTTGCCCTCTCTGGATCCCTGAAGCATTAATCTTAAATTCACATTTTTCCTTTTATAAATTCCTCTTTAAAATAAAAAAATTTCAGAAAAATTACAAATAAAATATCTTAGGGTTTCCCTGGTGGGGCAGAGGTTGAGAGTCCGCCTGCCGATGTAGGGGACGCGGGTTCGTGCCCCGGTCCGGGAGGATCCCACATGCTGCGGAGCGGCTGGGCCCGTGAGCCATGGCCGCTGAGCCTGCGTGTCCGGAGCCTGTGCTCCGCAACGGGAGAGGCCGCAACAGTGAGAGGCCCGCGTACCGCAAAAAAAAAAAAAAAGAAAAAAAACTCTTAATATTCCTACCATCCAAAATTAACTATCAATTACATTTTGGTGTACCTGTTCTCAATAGTTTTTTAAAAATCGTTTTCTTCTTGCAAAAGGGGTACAATACATGTACATTGTAAAAACTTAAAACTATGCAGGAAAATACAGAAAATCAAAATTTTATCAGCCAGAAATAACTTTCATAAATATTAGATAAATCCCAAACATCTTTTTAAGCATATTTATTTATTTATTGAGATAGGTGCAGGGTTGACAGACAGAAAAAATACGTTTATTTTTAAATCTTAATACCTTATAGTTGCTATTTTTTAATTTATTTCATTTTCTTTTAGTAGAAGACGAGGAAGCCAACATGAAGCTGAAGGAACTGTTAAACTTTAAATCTTCCTTTACCACGTGAGAGATAGTGCTTCCTAAATAATTCAGCAACCAAGGTTCAGAAAAGAGATGAGGAAAAAGAGGAGAGTGAAGTCATGGTGTTTTCTTTGTAGATCTCTCCACTTTATTTATTTATTTACAGGTATTTCTCCAAAGATGACATACAAATGGCCGACAAATATGTTAAAAGGTGTTGATTATAGATATCTCCATTTTAGAAAGCAGGCAACTCCTTGCTCCCACCTGCCCTTACTTCACCTCCTTTGTCTCTTAGTTTTGTTATTGTTTTTAAATTGCCACCCTCCATTCCATCACTGAAATGCCCATGCTCGTTTAGTACTGGGTCTATAATTATACAATTTCACGCTCATGACCAGTCTTTCCCTTTTCTGCATCTGCTTCCTTATCTACAAAATCCATGCATTCTCTTATTACACATTATCGAGCCCTGATCTGCTACCAGGCACGGACTAGTCCCTGAGACTCTGTGGGCAGTGAGACAGGTAAGGACCCTGCTCTTGAGTGGCTTACATTCTACTGAGAAAGGACAGACAAGCCAACAAGCAAAGGAACTTCAACAGTGATAAATGGTACTGAGATTCGTAAATCTGGGTGAAGAGCTAAAGGGGGAGGGGGCAGGCGGGGAACTGACTCTACACCATCTCAGCAAGAAGAAGCCATGCAGACTGGAGAGTGTTCCAGGCCGAGGGAACCACAAGGGCCAAGGCCTGGAGGCATATGAAAACAAGATCCTCAGTCATTCCACAAAGGTGCATGGAGTCAGACAGGCAAACAGTTGCAGCCATCCTTCTCTATTGGGGCAGGAATCAAATGTCTTCAGCTCACCGTTTCATCCACTGCTCCAGCTCGGTAAATACATGTAGAACCAATGAGTGAATGAATGAACGGACATCCTGGATCTGGTGGCTGCAGAATGAGAGTGGAAAGATGCCAGGTAACAGGTCTCTCTGCCTTCCAATCTCTCTGCTCTTATAGCCTCTAGGCAGTCTCTCCAGGGAGTTCCCTGGCAGTCTAGTGATTAGAACTCCGCGCTTTCACTGCCAAGGGCCCTGGTTCAATCCCTGGTCAGGGAACTAAAATCCCGCAAGCCATGCAATGCAGCCAAAAAGAAAAAAAAATAGTCTCTCCAGGTTTACCTTAAAAAGGAGCAGATTTCTCCCCACCGCTCCCAGCCACCTGGTATCTAACGGTCCCTGTCTCCTTAGCTTTTTCTTTCTCCTAGAATATCCTTCTTTAAGGGTCACCTGTGCTCTGTCTTTTGTGGCTTGAGCCCAGTGTCTCCTCTTCCATGAGCGGTTCAGAGAATACTCTAGGCTGCATCTCCTTCTCTTGGTAGGACTCATGGTCACGTTGGCACCAGCCCTGCCTGGCAACCTCCAGTGGTTAGTGAGTCAACCTCGCCTCCCTCTTCAGCCTCTGAACAGCCCTCAAGCAGAGACTTTGTTTCAACCCTCATTCCTCAAGTCAGACAGGGAAAATGAGACCCAGAGAGCTCACTGGTCTTGACTTAGGTCAGACAATCAGGACGTAGCAGAACCAGGGCTTAACACCAAGTCAACTTGCCTGGGTCCCCGACAGCTCACCTGCCTCCTGGTGAAATGAAGCCAGGATGGGTTGTATTTCAGGCAGCAGAGATAGAGAAAGCAGGGTCTCAGTGAATGGACACTTCCGGAACCACACAGATCATCGCTAGCCTGTCACCACCCCAACAGGGGGAACTGGAAAGAACATGTAATTTGATGTCAGAAAGACCTGAGTTTGAATCCAGTAGTTATCAGGTGACCCTTAGTGAGTTGCTTAATCAAAGTCTCAGATTTTAAAACATTGATTATTTTAATTGTGGTAAAATACATATGACATAAAATTTATCATTTTAACCATTTTTAAGTGTACAGTCCATGTTGTTGTGACACCATCACCAACTCTAGAACTCTTTTCTTCTTGAAAAACTGGAACTCTGTATCCATTCAACAATAACTTCCTATTCCCCCCTCCTTCCATCCCCTGGCAACCACCATTCTACTTTCTGTCTCTACAAATTTGACTATGCTAAGCATCTCAAATAAGTGGAATCATGCAGTATTTATGTTTCTGTGACTGGTTTATTTCAACTGAGCATAATGTCCCCAAGGTTCGTCCACGTCGTAGGAAGTTTTGAAAGGTCCTTCCTTTTTGTTTGTTTGTTTTTTGTTGTTTTCGGTACGCGGGCCTCTCACTGTTGTGGCCTCTCCCGTTGCGGAGCACAGGCTCCGGACGCGCAGGCTCAGCAGCCATGGCTCACGGCCTTAGCCGCTCCGTGGAATGTGGGGTCTTCCCGGACGGGGGCACGAACCCGTGTCCCCTGCATCAGCAGGCGGACTCTCAACCACTGCACCACCAGGGAAGCCCAGGTCCTTCTTTTTTAGGCTGAATTATATTCCATTCTGTGTATATGCCACATTTTGTTTATCCATTCATCAGGCTGTGGACATTTGGCTTCCTTCCGCCATCTGGCTATTGTGAATAATGCTGTTATGAACATGAGTGTATAAATATCTCTTCAAGATCCTGCTTTTAATTCTTTGGGGGTATACACCCAGAAGTGGATGGCTGTATAATATGGCAACTCTAGTTTTAAATTTTCTAGGAATCACAGACTGTTCAGGTGTTTTAAATAAACTTTTTATTTTGGAATAATTTTACATTTTCAGAAAAGTTGCAAAGATAGTGTAGAACCTTCCCTTATCTCTATCACCCAAACCCCATTATTATTAACATCTTACATTACCATGATACATTTATCAAAACTGAGAAACCAGCATTGGTATTGTACATCACTAATAACTAAAGCCCAGACTTTATGTGGGTTTCACCAGTTTTTCCACTAATATCCTTTTCTGGTTCAAGGACCGCATCTACAATACAAAATTGTTTAGTCAGTATGTCTCCTCAGTCTTTTCTGGTCTGATTCTTAGACTTTCCTTATTATTCATGACCTTGGCAGTTTTGGTGATAATTGGTCAGGTATTGTATGAAATGCCCCTCATTTGGGGTTTGTCTGATGTTTTCCTAATAAGTCTTCGTTTTCTCATCAGTAAAATGGGGACATACCTATTTCACAGGTTATGTGTAATTAAATGAGCCATCATAGTTTATGTCTCACCAACATTGACACCTAGATCGCCTGGTACACTAAATCCAGCTACTTTTTGAGAATCTTATGAACTTTGATCAAAACTGATCATTTACCTGCATTTAAGTCAGTAGTTTAAAACCCTTCTTATCAGGGAAATGCATCACAGTGAGATATCACCTCACACCTGTTAGAGTGGCTGTCATCAAAAAGACAAGAGATAAAAAATGCTAGCAAAGATGTGGAGAAAAGGGAACCCTTGTGCACTGACAGTGGAAATGTGAATTGGTTTGGCTATTACCGATAAAAGTACAGGTTCCTCAAAAAAATTAAAAATGGAACTACCGTATAATCCTGCAACCCCACTTCTGAGTATACATCCAGAGGAAATGAAAACAGGATGTTGAAAAGATATCTGCACTCTCATGTTCATAGCAGCATTATTCACAATAGCCAAGATATGGAAACAACCTAAGTGTCCATCAATGGATGCATGGATAAAGAAGACATGGATATATACAATGGAATATTATTCAGCCATGAGAAAGAAGGAAATCCTGCTTTTTGTAACAATGTGCATGGACCCTAGGGGTATTATGCTAAGTGAGATAAGTCAGACAAAGACAACTATTG